GAAACGACAGGCAAGAGGATGAATCAAAGGGTTTGACTTAGAGATTAAGGAACGGATTTAGAAGAATCCATCACCGGTCGGATCGTTCACCCACGGGTAATTGTTGGGGCAACGTACGCAGGTCTGAAGGTTGATGGTCTCCCCCGGCACTTCTTTCGAGGTCAGCTTGCACGAGTGCGGTACCCAACAAGCCGGCGGCCCATCCACGATGCACTTCTCCTTCCACGGCTCGAAGTTCTTCGATTCCGTGACGGTCCGCGGGTTCTGGATCCATTGAATTACTTGGGTCATCGTCACGAAGTAGACGTCATTGTGGTTGGCCAGGATCTCGTCGATCCAGTAGAGGAAAGCATCCAGGAACTCGGGATTGTTCTTCAACCAGGCCGCGTGGAAATAGAGACCCAGCGGGGCGCGGTTTTGCTCGTAATGTCTGTCGAAATTGTGGTTCAGGAAGTTGTAGAACTGGTCGCCGGTTAAAATGTTGCTGCACGAGTCCACCATTGCGCAACCAGGAAGGTATTCGTCGTTCTGGGGATCCTCACGACGGTCCAACTCGTTCATCACCATTTCCCAAACGGCGTGAGATCTGGGCAGAGGAAATAAGAGTTCCGTGGTTGATAGGTTTGAATCGAGCTGCTGGGTTTAATGATACAGCTGCTTGATTCAAAATATCGTATTAAATAATTAACAGAAGATCTCCCGAATTCAATTCATTAAACAATATGAGATATTTCTATTTATACAATTTTAGTTAAGGCAGATGGCTTTAAAATAATTGATACTATGATCAATTTAACTGATTGAATATTCCATCGACTACATTTAAGTAGATACAGACGGTGCTACTACGAAACGAGTGATACAACTCAATAATTCAGTCCATTAAGCTATATAAATCTATTTTTTTCTATTCAGATGAAATTATTTAAAATCATCCCAAATATGTATAAAGATCTATATTAAATAACTGATTAAAAACTGTATTGGAAAACTATGTTGAATGGCAGAAAAATAGTAGTCCTATTGAATAAATGATACGAGTCAATAATAAACGCGACGTCATATAATCAAGAGTACAGAGTATTTCCTGCACAATTTTTGTACCGAGCAATTTTCAGATTTAATTAAGTTACCTTGTAGGACAGTGTTGAAGGTTTCCGTGGCATCGGTGTGGCATTCTAAAGTACATGGTGTAAGGCCAAAGCGGTGGGTTGTTCAGGGCCGCGGTGATTGTGGAATCGTAGAGGAAAGCTTGTTCCTCCATCATCGTAAACTGATTGTTGCCACCGACCCTCAGATAAGGTGCCCTCACGCCAACCACGCTGTTGTCCGTCAAGTTCGCGTATTTCTCCGCAATTATTCTCATGCCGGCCATCTCCTTCGCCCAGTCGTCCACCGTCGCGTCCGACCAGAATCGTTCGTCGTCATTGTGTCTTGAAACACAATCATTCATCCAACAAACTAACTTCAGATGTCGAGACAAACGTATTACATGAAATAAGATTTTCCATGCCGAGATTAAAAAATCAAATAAAAAATAAGAAATGAGTAGCTCTTCATATAAAATAAAATTTCTGTAATGATCTCATTTTTTAAAAGTTATATATAGACTTTCTATATTTTTCAATGCATACGATTTCTGATAATGATT